GGAAATAGCGCCCCCTTCACTTCCGGATTGCAATGGTCCCATTTCCAAATAAGGTATGAGACTGACAGTGGTCCATCCCCGCCCCTTTCTGTTTGCTGCAGCGAGGTGGACTTGTTCTTGGCAAGTACTGCTGGAAGATCGTCCTACCGAGTACGGGAGTATGTGTCATGATTCGGGGTCAAATGGTGAGGTGAGGGAAAACGCAGGCAGACCCAGGTTGAAGTGATGATGATGATGATGATGATGATTTAATGATGAAGTTCACAGAACAGAACAATGGGCAGCAAGACATTACACAAGGAGGATCCAACAACAGACAAAGATGGGACTAAATACACTGGGAGGGTAATCAAAAAAACGAGACACAGCTGGGAACAATCAACAGGGAAGACAGAGACTCACAGGGGAACAGGCTAATAAACACAGAAAAACCTCAAAATAAATACACAGAAAACACAGATCACCACAGTATGAGGACGGCAATTGGACCAGATGTGAACTTCATTACGTCACTGCAGCAAGGAACTATTCATGCTACTATTTTTAAAATGACCTAATAAATAAAAATAAAAACCTTAACCACTTTCCCCTTAATAACTACACATCATTTCATTTTTATAATTATATAATAATAATAATATAATTATAATTGTTTTTAATGAATAAAGGTGTAAAACCTCTTACGGTTAATAAACCGTAAGGCTGTTTGTCTACAAATTTCAGTTGTAAGCAAATGGCTTAAAACTGACTTTGTAGGGGTAAATATTTCCCAATACTCAAAATGGAGCAAGTAATGTTAACTACACTGGCTGGAATGATTTGCTATGAAGCTGGAGAGAGAGAAGCAGAGGTGAGGTAGAGGATACGAGCAAGAGAAGCCAAAATACAGAGGAAGAGGAGGCGTTATCTCTTGGCTTGCCTTACAGTGTTGGTATGTCCTACTCTATAAACTCATAACATAATGCAACCCAGTGGTGGAACAAGTCGGCGTCGGGCCAGGGGGTGGGGCTAATGACCGGGCCCTTTATACCCAAAATAACAAAGCTCATGAAAGGGTAATTTTATAAAATACTAATACCCGCAATAGTGGGGCTTACAACTTTCGACACCATGGAGAGCGACTATGTCATGTTGAGTCCATCAAACAGACGTGATGTCATGAATTGTGGTTGTTTGTGGTGAGGATGGACACGATCAGACACAGAATCAAGTGCCAAAATGATGGTTTTAATAGTGATAAAGTTCACAAATTCAGGAAGCACAGGTGAGAAAAGAACAGAGGCACAGGAACTTCACATGTCAAGGATGCGGCGGGGAACAAGGCACACCGGAGACGTTAAATACATGAGGAATTAATCAGGGAAACGAGAAACAGCTGGGAACAAACGGGGCATACACTATAACACAGGAACTAAATTAACTGAAAAACACACACACAATCCACAACCTAATACATGAAGTATAACAAACCAAGAGAACAACAAAAGCATCAGGCTTACATGGTCACTAAACAACACAAATTAAAATCAGTTCAGCACCACGGATAGCGAATGGATTATTTTGACACCCACTTTATTCAATCAAAGCCTTTATCTGTAGCTTATAAAATTTGTGAAAATGGCACAACGGCCAACAGCGGTGAACACATGGACTCAAATAGTGGTGAATAGGCTACTCATCACTATATTTTGAAGGGCATACAACGAGTCTTGCGCTCTGCGAAATCGTCCATTTTCTTTGCTCTCTCATTCTCTATGGACAATATGGCAAGTCCACTCAGTCTCTCTTGTCCCATTGTGCTCCTCAAGTAGTTTTTAATGATTTTTAACTTGGAGAATGAGCGCTCAGAGCTTGCAACGCTGACAGGAAGAGTCAAAAATAAAAGGAAGGCACAAACCTCAGTGAATGTAAAAGTTACTGCTGGATGACTGACAATGAGCATTTTTGCCAGATCCACAACCGATTTTTGTTTTGCTATCTGGTCCCTGAAAGAGGTTCTACAAAGCAGCTGGGCAGGGGAGCTGGGGGCGATGTCCCGTCTGTAGTGCTCACTTAGCCGCTGGGCAGCTTGGTACAACTCCTCATCTCCTGCTTGCAGAAGGGTGTTGGGTTGAACTGCCTCAAAAATATTCACAGTTCTGTTTAAGCTGGAGAATCTGTGGGACAGCTGCTGGATGACAATATCAAGGCAGGCATTGAAAACGTGCACCCGAAAGTTGCTCTCTGCGTCAGTGAGGCGGCAGTCTTCAGAAAGCTCATCAAAGTGACGCTTAACTTTTCTGGCTCTGGTTGTTTCAAACTGCGTTTGACTTCCCCATTTTGCAGCTAGAGCAAGGGTGGCAGACTTAACCTCATCAAATTTCTTCCTGAACTCCATTAAAACACTGATGGCATTTTACAGAAGATCAAATGCTTTCAGGATATCAGTGTCCTTAGCTTGTAGTAACTGTGAAGCAGCGTTTATGCACTCTAGAATTTTGGTTTGCATGTTGACCAAAAATATGAAAGAAAATTTGCCTATCGCATTCTTGAGTGCACTTGCTTCATTACGCTCCTCTTTTTTGTCACTGGTCAAGGATATTTTGACGAGGGCTTTTGTGATGTTTCCATATCTGTGAGGTAACGCAAAAAACGCATCATGTCTAGAAGACCAGCGAGTGGGACAGAGGCGTTTTAAGGTGACAGTTCTGCTCTTGTGTCAAGAATTCACTGAGAAGCGCCAACCGTTTGATACTGTAACCAAAAAAGTTGTACAGGCAAGGGCGTAGGAACGAGTCTGTCATTGGGGGGGACGCATAT